ACAAATATATATAAAACGGACCAAACGGTTATATATACATGTATATCTACGAAAAAAATATACCAATATATATCAACCAAAAAGAAAATATAATCCTTAGATTATAATTCCAAAACAACAAGAAAGAACGGATTTTTGCTTAGAGCATAATCCAAAACAAGAGAGAAGAAGAAAGAAGGTACGAGTTAGGCAAAGTGCCTGTCTTTCCTTAAAACCTTATTTGCCACCTCCCAAAAGTGCTAGGAGCGTTGTGGCCTAGGTTTCCCAGGATAAAACGTACAACGATTCGACGTTTGAGCACCCAAACGAACGAACCCGGCGAACTAGAGCACGGGCAAAACACAGTAGCAAGAAAGAAGAAGTAGGAGCAAAGGTTTTGAGAAGGAAAATTGCTTATCTTTGTGTGTTGTGTACTCTCGTGTTCTTCCCACACTTGTTGTAAATCACTTGCTCCTACTACCTCTTCTTATATAGGAATTGGAGTACTAAATAGCATTTAGTAGGCATTCATGGCACGTTGGTAACATCTGAAACAGCTGGTCATTAGTGCAGGTTTAATTCAAAATTCAAAATGAATTAATACAGAGATTAATTCCTGTAACGGATGAATTAAATCTCCCCTGTCCAGAAACAGCTCTGGTAGACCGAAGTGCTGTTCAGCCGCAGCGCACGAGAGCAACTCTCGTGCTGCATGCTCTCGGCCAGGCCGTAGCGCACGAGAGCAACTCTCGTGTTGCTTGGTCTCGGCCAGCGCACACGAGAGCACCTCTCGTGCTGCTTGTTCTCTGTTCGACCAGCGCACGAGAGAGCAACTCTCGTGTTGCTCTCTGTTCGGCCTAATGCTCTCAGGCCAGGTCGAACCCAGGCTTTCAAGTGGCTTAGAGTTTGGAAAACTGATACCGAAAGTTGGCCAGGTCGAACCCAGGCTTTCAAGTGGCTTAGAGTTTGGAAAATTGATACCGAAAGTTGGCATAACTTAGCCCCCAGCCAATTTCCGGACGACATTCGTGCCCGTAGGTGCCGGCGCACACGAGCGCGAGAGAGCCTCTATGCTATACAATTCTACAAGCTCTAAAAAAAAAAGCTCTTGTATAAAAGGGGGGTGAAATCCTCTTTCCAAATCAATGTGGGACAAAGCTCACTTTTTCCTTACATTTTCCAACTCAATGGGTCTACTTTGAGAATCAATATCTCATTCACCCATTATCCGTTTTGAGCGTACAATATATCAATCTCTTCGCCTCACTACGAAGAATCCGAATCCACTTTGACCCGATCCAAATCGGAAGTGGACCCCACTGATAATTGTACCACAAAATAGCCACTTAACATGTCATTTTATGCCATTTTAATGCTATTTTTCCAACAAAGAATAGCCTTAGAGTTCTACTACATGTACTACCAAATTCTACTTCCCCACTTTTACTCAATGATCTGGCAAATAATCATAAGATATTTTCATCATGTAGGTCCTAGAAAAAAGTGTCTACATCAAGAATTTGCGAGAAAGAGTAAAAGTTGGGAGTAAGAAATTGAAGTTCATGTTGTCTCAAGATTATCTATTTTTTTTTTTTAAATTCCTGAAGACCACGGAATTGAAATATTAGGGGAGGACATGAGATTATTCTATGAAAATGAGAGAATTGCAATTCTCTCTAACAAAATGAAGAAATTTGTTTGTCTTCATAATTAAGTGTAAATTAGCTAGAAATGTAATTGTAATTCCTTCCAACCAAATGTCTAGTAAATATTTGGTTTAGTTAATGAGTCTTAATCGAAGTAATTATAATTCAAATTTTCATAATATTAAATTAAATACTAATATATAAATTTATATATTTAGAGATTATGTTAAAAGTATTATTAAAATTAAATTTAAAAATATTTAGGATGTGTTTGGTTCACATAAGGGAATCAGAATCGGAATAGAAATAAAATACTTGGTAATGGTAATTGATTTTGGTGAAAGTATTTTGCATGTTTGGTAGTAGGGTGGAATTAGAATATTTACTAATATTGATGTTTGGTTTTTTATGACCCTATAATGGAAATAAATATTTTAAAAATATAAAAATTAAAAAATTAAAGCAATTGGTCTTAATATAATGACATCCAAAGCACCCATATAAACAAAATAAATCAAAACAAAAATCTAAAAGTACTAAACCAAACTTGAAAATCATATTTCCAATAAGATGAAATGATAACGGTTTTTAATTAGGGAATGAGGTTTTTAATTGGAGGGTAATCAAATCCGTTATATTTTAAAAAGTTGTCAACCAAACACTAACTATGATTTTGATTCTAATTCTTAGTGTATAAACTCATGAACCAAACACACTTTTAATTTGATCAATAAATAATAAATAATAAATATGTCAAGTAAAATTGAATAATAGATAGTAAAATTAGAAGTATTAAAGAAAAATGTGTGAAAAAATTTCAGCCAATAAGCTTTTTCCTAATTCTATAAGATGACATATAAATTAAGATTAAGAGCACACATTGTTTGTTTGGTTATAAATCAACGAGAAAACAATTCATACGTCACCCCCATTGACCATTCCGCGAAAATTTGGCCCTTTCTTCGTTGAGACCGCCGAGAATTCCAGAGAGAGAGAGAGAGAGAGAGAGAGAGAGAATGGCGACAGCGATGAGGCAATTCCAACCGTCCGCCACCGGAACAGCCACCTTAACTATTACCATAGACGAAGCATCCTCCCAACCTGAGGCCGCATCGTCCTCGTCCTCGTCGTCCTCTCTTCAGCGGCCGCGGAACGAAACCCTAGTTCTGACCTTGAAGCCAAAGAAGAAGAAGAAGGTGACCTGGAAGGAAGGTACGGTCGACAACGAGTTCCTCAATAGGAAAAGCTCTAAGAAATGCTGCGTTTTTCACAAGGACAAGCCTTTCGACGAAGATTATAGTGATGACGAGGATGAAAACAAAGGCCATTCGAATGATCATCAGCGCGATCACGATCATCATGGAGATTGCGGTAACTGCAGAGATCATTGATTGATGGAGATCGTAAGTGTAACAAATTTATGATATAGCCAAAAATGGAAGAGTTTTTATTTTTTTTTGTTTTTATTTGTATTTTTTTGCACGATATAAGATTCGAATTTCAGAGGATTTGGAATATGTTTGTGTAGAGATTTGGAGCATGGTCCGACGGTAATCGGATGGAATGGAGATGATGAATTTATGTTATGGCAATTTTTAATTGTGTTCTGGATTCAGATACTCCGAATTTAATTTAGTCTCTTTTGTTTGTGAATTATGATTATCTTAAAATCTGAATAGCAGTTTATAGCAGTTTGTATGGATGGTTTGGTTAGACCCAAATTGCATTTTGAACCTTAATTACTTGTCTGTGTGTTTACTTGAAAAAATGAATTAAAAATTTGTCTATGATGCACAGATTCTTCATAGTTAAATCAGGTAGAATTCTAGTTTTATCTTTGTGTTTTTGAGGAGGGTTGCTCTGAGGTTTTTTTTTTTTTTGGGTATATTGAAGGGAGCCTAAAAAGTCTCTTTTTAGATAATGGTTTGATTATCAACATTCAGGGCAGATGATTTTTACAGTCACTTCTCTGCTTATAAGTGTGTTGGCAGTTTTGAAAAGGCTCAAGATTCATACATTTATCTGAGAACTCTTATCTGTCTTTCCTTCCTGGATTGTGTTTAGTGATATTCGTTAGAGTGGTTTTTTGTTGATGATATTAGTAGGTTGTGGGTCTTCTTGGTTTGGGAAATATTACTGATTGTTTTCTACTTGATAATATAAATAAAAGGTAATCGCATTTTGTATTTTATGTACTATTCTGTGGATCAGTATGGTAGGCAATATAAGAGTTGCTTAAGTGTGTTGCATACTTGCATTTGTGGGTACCGAAGGCTATACCATGTTATGTTACACATCTCTTCTACTTTGGTTTGGTAGATCCATTTTTGCTTGCTAGTTGTTGTAGTAGTGTGCATATATATGGACAATTAGTTGGTATTTTCCTTGGAATCTACGAAATATAACTAGAAACTAGTGAATGAGATTGAAGTCTACTTTAGTTTCAATATATATATATATAATATATATTTCATTCATTCGATTAGGCATTTTGAAACACATTGCATGTCTAGAAGGTCAAGTTTAGCATGTCTGTTATTCAAGTGATTGACTGGCCATTCTTATTCTTATCAGCCTAAGCAAGCTTTGCTTCACAGCCTTACTATTGCCCCTTTGCCCATCTTATAATGAACCTATAAACATTTTGTATATGACAGAATGGTTATTTATGGCTTTCAAATTAGATACACAATATAACCATGGCTTATAATTTCTGCCTTTTTTTTGTTGGCTGCTCTTTTTGCTGTTCAGAAGAGATAAGGAGACTGGAGACACCTATTAGATTAGAGAGTGAACTTCAGTGCTGAAATACTTAAATACCGATGCTTTTTTTCTATTATAATAACAATAATTTCTAATGCAATACATACATAAAAATTTCATTTCTCACATCACCCAAAAAAGACTGGAGAATTGGTTTCCAGCATAGAAAGAGAAGAGTGAGAAGCAATGAGTTTCAAGTATTGTACCACTGAATTCAGCTATGTTTTCCATAGTACTGAGAAATGTTTTGTTTCCAATTTTCACCACACTTTGAGATAAAAGAGAACTTTAGTTGTCAAAGTTATCAAGGCGTCCGGTCGATTAGGCGATTGGAGACATGTATTGCACTGTTGAATCAATCACTCGTTTAGACTATTTATTTTGTTTAAATTGTTGCATATTTTAGTACGTATTGTTTTATATATGGGAATATAGTCACTTAGTCGATTAGGCGATTTGGAGACATCTCTCCTAAAATATCAGTCTTGACAACAATGTGTAATGCATCCATGTATTAAACTATTAAACAATGGCCAAATTGTCAAGGCACTAATGCATCCATCTATTAAAATATTAAGTAAAGCTTAAAGCATGAAGGTACAAACACCAATATAATATAAATTCAGAAACAAAATGAAATCATTCTCAAATCTCAATGGTGCAATAAGCATAAGTAGTAGTGGCCACATAACATTGCATTAACCATAGTTATGATCATCAGTACCATAAATATCCATACAGAGCCTCCCTGCCTATCTTTCAATTGGAGAAATATAAGTTGAAAGCTAATATAACAGCGGCAAAATTAAACTAGGGTTCTAAGCATTCTAGACTAGTTGCAAATTATTATTTACAGCGTAACAAGATTCAGAAATAACAACAGCATACTTGTAATAAAGTGCAGACAGATAGACACAGCTGGATGTATCACTTTCTCCTATTGACGATTAGGAGTACTGCCAGAGACGATGGAGTTCACATGAGGAATATAGAACGTGAAGTCTTCACCGTTATCTACTTCTTCCTCAAACTCCATATCATCTTGCTCGACCTCCCAATTCATCGTTTCAGTGTCAAGATTGACCTCCTTCATCTCATCACTTTCCAGATTGTAAACATATAACAAGTTTTTCCTGTGTCTATTGAACACCATCTCACAGCCCGAAGTGCAAAACGGGATCAATCCAGTAATATCATAGTTCCTGTTTATACTATAACGCTTTATCCAATTGTCACCTACACCGTCCCTCCTCAAAATCCATACCTGAATCAAGTGCATGGTTGCATGAGTAACAAAACTCAATAACCCTCCAACCTCAACCAAGCGATCATTCTTGGTGCTGCTGATTGGCAGAGGAATAGAAAGGAATTTCTCATCATCATATCCCAGTGACACAATATGATTGCACCCGAATCTTTCAGGAAGCCAATACATTGCTCCAATAGCTGAAACGGGTGTATGAAAAATGATTGATCCAATAGCTGAAGATGGTCCATCCACCGCATGCCATGACCTTGTAGACAGGTTTAGTATCTCACACCTAATGTGATTGAATTTATCGCGGAATAAGTGTACCACTTTATACCCACCCATCAACTGCCTACGCATGAACCCATACGAATCTGGATGGAAACCAATTGTTCCAAGGGGAAGTTGTATATGCTTCCTAGTACTGGGATTTATAACCGCTAAGCCTCCATTCTTTTTCATTTTGGTCAATACTAATCCATTACAAGATGCTAAAATTCTATCTATGTTTTTCAAATTTGGCACACAGACTTTGCTGCTCTTGCCACTACGCAATTCCCAGAATTGGAAAAAGAACTTCCTACTCTCTGCATGTGGTCGTCGTGCAAAAGGCAAGGATGTGTTATCCTCAGTAACAGACTTTAGAGTTAGGAGGACTGTCTCAGACTGGCGAAGATGAGCTTCAATGAAATTTGCACTCGAAATCATGTTGAACATTGTCTTGCAAGCAAAGCTTACCCTGCAAAGTGACTCAGCCGGAAGTAGAAGAAATATATGGAAGAGCAGGTCAAAAGGAATCCATGTTTTGTGAGTTGATGCTTCCATCTCTAACCCACCATCCATCTCCTCTTCCTTTTCATCCAAAAATGCACTCTGTTTTATCGTTTTATATGGCCTTTTTTCCATTCGCAAAAGCTTAGCGCTCTTTCTCCTGCTGTTAACGTGAGAAAGTTACTCAAAGAAAGTAAAAGGAGGGGAGAAACCATTAACCAGAGAGCATGAATGGCATGTGTACTATTACAAAATGATGAAGATCACAACAAGATGATTACAGGAGTAAAACGACACACGATATATGTAAATAAAATCTACATGTACCAAGTCTACTTAGTTCTTCAAAATGAAATTCAGACTATTACAAGAAAAACGATGCCTCATGATATGCCAAACTTACATCACATTGGGATGGATAAGAAGTGAACATAGTCAGTAGAATGAGATAGCCAAGAGCCCAATTGCAAATAATACATACACCTCATTCTATATCATTCCTTCAATAGATTTCAAGTTGTCATCTCCACATAGGAAATAAATGCACCAAAAACACAACTATTTCTCCTTGTTTACCCCTTAAAATCCTAAAGTAAATGTATGCTGTTTTGCTAAACACTGAAAAATGAAAGAGCATGTTTCATAAACTTAAACAAAAACAACCAAGAGAAAGGTGAAATTCCAGACAAATTCAAGGAACCCTTGGTACTTTTGCCCAATTTTCACAGGGTTACAGAATCACCATAATCCTTTCCCAATTTTGAATACACAAACATGATCACAGATTAAAGCATGCCATGTCCCTATGATCATGCAATCTTGACAGAATTTCCCAAGAAACTGCCATCAATCACGGCGGAAATTCAAGGAACGCTCAAACAAAGATCAAGATTCATCAAAAAAACGAAATACCTGAAGACAATTCCGTCTTCTCTGAGGCGATTGCCGGAGAACAGTGATTCGGCGTAGCAGAGGGTTTATTGGTTTGTCTACACTCTACATTGAGAGTAGCGGAAATCACAGAGATCAACTGGACTTGAGCTTGACTTGGAAAAAGGAATTTGCGCTTTGTTTATTGTCACACTGGCCTTTTCTCATAGGCTGCTGCTTTATTTTGCTTTTGACCCAATTGCAATTTGGCATTTTCAGTGAGCTGAGCATTCTTTACTATTTTAGGAGGAATATAACATTGCTAAGGAACTCATCATTGTTTCCTTTTGGGTGAAATGGTTTTATCTCAACCTTATAATATTACTATCTTCATCATCATAGCCACAAATTATTTTATGGTGCCTATCATGGTGTGGCCAATAAAATAAGATAATGTTCAAATTTGTGTAATAAATCTTATATCAATTTGGAGTTATTAATTTATAGTATGAATGAGCAATTAATAAATACAAAACATGATAACAAACAATATACCGTAGGTGATTTCTTTTTTTTTTTTTGCTCTAAACAATAAAAAAAATTTATTATCATCAAAAGCTTCATAAATTCAAAGAATTACAATGCACCCATTTGTTAGAACTCTCCGATCTTAGTTGTATTCTATCTCTTTATTAATATCTTTTGTATATATTTTTGCACTGAGTTTCAGTTTTTCAATAATATAGAAATAGTGTTCTCATATGGTATCAGTTAGATTTTTCATGGTGTAGGACAATTATATTATTCTTGAGCTGACTGTTTCCAATGTCACGTTGTCGCCGATGGTGCCTACAAAATAACTCAAATATTGAAGGCTCAATCCAATAAAAACAACCCATCCCAAATTCAAAAAACCTTAATACTACAATATGGCAAATTATGATGTGAGCACGTGCCCACCATGCACATGGTGTGCACGAATCTATATTCATAATTTCTATACTGTAGATTCATAATTTCTATACTGTAGATCTATAATTTCTAGAATCTCGGTGAGCTAAACTTTATACTTTAGATTCCAATTGTTGAACCATGTTTTCACAAATCAGTGCAGTATAGAAATTATGGATCTACTGTATTTAAATTATGGATTCTACGGTTTTAGAAATTATGAATCTAAAGTATAAATTTTAGCTCACCGAGAGTCTAAAAATTATGGATCTACCGTATAAAAATTATGGATTTGCAGTATAGAAATTATGGATATAGAATCGTGCGTACCATGCAAGGTGGGCACGCGCCCACAACATAACGATTGCTACAATATCCTTTGCAATTAGATATGTCAGAACGGGCCGAATCCAACAGGTTGAGTTGAGTCTAGTTTTTAGATGGGCAGATCATAAAATCTTCGACACAGCCCAATTTGGAACAACCCGCTTAGCTTGTAAGAGTACCTGAGCTATATGGGTTGGCCCAGTAACCTGCAGACCGACTATCATAACCCGCCACCCCCACCCTCGCCCAAGTTTATTTAAATATTAGTATTTTGTACCTGCGATGTGCGAAAATTTATGTCCAATATTAAAACATTGATAAATATAAATAATTAAAAATTATAGTTCAAGTTATATATACACAAATAATATATGTATTATATACACACACATGATTTATCATTCATAGAAATTTAATTAAAATATAATCAATAATTAAATTAATCATATAATGATTTTAATAAAATGATAATTAAATAATAAGAAAAAAATATGATAGATATAAGTGTATGGTAATAATGAGGGATTCATCAATCTTAGAATTAAATAGTAACGGAGTTATAACGGTGTAAGGGTAATTTTTTCTAAAAAGAATGTAGTAGGGACAATTTTGTCCAATAAAATTGAAGTATACAATATTTAAAGTAAAATGTATACCTTCTATTTTTTTGGTCAGACCACGAGGTGTCTTGAACAGACCCTAATTGTAGGAGGCACCTTTAAGTCTGTACCATACTCAAACTAATCACCGTTTGCACCAGCCAGGCCCAATTAAAGGGCAAAGTGCTAACAAGATTCAATTATATTGTGCACCGCGCATCAAAACGACGTCGTTTTATTTAATAAAAAGAAACGGAATCCGTTTCGCACTGTTCTGCAAAAATAACTCTGTTCTTCAGTTTCATTTTGTATACACTGCAGTTTCAGTTCAACACAATTACAGTTTCATTTCGATATAACTACAGTTTCATTCAATATTTATACACTCAAATATGTGAAAATGTTATTTAATTTTATTTTATATACACTATAGTTTCATTAAAACACAACTACATGATCATTTCATATAATTACAGCTTCATTGTACAATATACATTCAAATATGTGAAATGTTATTCAGTTTCATTTTATATATACTGTAGTTTCATTTCATCACAACTACAGTATCATTTTGGTATAACTGCAGTTTCATTTGATAATATAAAAATAATACGTGAGACAGTGTCAATTTAGATACACTATAATGTCACTCCGTTAACACTAACAGCGCGCCGTTTTGATGCGCGGTGCATAATCGATTATGCACCGCGGTCTACGATATAACCACTGTGCCATTATCAATATAATCAATTAAAACAAATTTTTGGTCCATTTTTTGCCGTCATCCATTGGATGACGGGCTGGGTCATTCTCCATGAACCATTTTCCTAATGTTATTTATTAAATCAAATAAATAAACTGAAAGATTGCAGTTTTCACATTTGAAACACTAATTAAAACCGAAAGTCAAAATTCCGTTGCCGGGAATCGAACCCGGGTCCCCTGGGTGAAAGCCAGATATCCTAACCGCTGGACGACAACGGAAAACTTGTGTTGATAATCTGTTTAGAAACTTATTACCGTATAAATATATGGCTTACATTGAAAAGCTATAGAAGTTAAGTTGCGGTGAACGTGGATCGAACACGTGACCTTCAGATCTTCAGTCTGACGCTCTCCCAACTGAGCTATCCCCGCAACTGAAATCTTGTTTACATTTGAAATAAATGAATAGTACCTTTTTGTAACCATAATTAATTACATTTCCCATATTGCTTCGTGTAGTCATTATTGTGTGTTCAAACTCTAATTAAAAGTTAAAACATAGCCACGATAAATTGATGATTATTTCATTTGAATAACATACAACTTAATTTTTGAAAACAACATACAACTTAATTAATAACACTTCTAATCAATTACATAAAACACTATACCAAGCATCTCTTGTGTATGATTCAATGATTCTCTCAAGCCAAAACCAATCATCTTTAATAACACTTCTATAATTATTATAAAACCTATAATCTAATATAAGCGTACAATACTATGCAATTTCCTTTCTTGATATATATGTATATAATAATACTTACATGTTTTTATATTTGCAAAATTACCCAAGTATATATATACTAATTACTAATTACTAAATTCTCAATTCTCTAAATACCTTTTTTTTTTTTTTTTTTCTCAATTAGGCACTTAGATTACTATCTTGTTATTTGAATTAAGTTCTATGTTATGTTTGGATTTTGAATTTTTAAATATGTAGTGGCGTCTTGTTGTCTGGACTCATTATTGATTGAGAAATTTGAAATATGCATCGTGACTTATTGCTTAGATTTTAAATTTTATATTAGTAAAAATAAATAAATAATTAAGTGTGCTAAAGAGCTCGGGAATGTTCATTTTCTCAAACCAAACCGAACTACAATGTTAAATAGAATGGTTTCGTATTTTCAGAAAGAAAAAATACAAATCAAACCGAGACAAAAAAAAAAAAAAAAAACAAATCAAACTATAAATCAAAATTCTCACCCCTAATTGTAGGTTCTTTTTATTATATTACTACTATTACTACAATATATAATTTCATTATGTCAATTTTACAAGTTTATAAAGATATTATTGCATATTCATTAAATCACTATTGCAAATTGATTAAATTACTACTACAAGTTCATTAAGTCATTTTTGCTCGTCCATCAAAACATTATTACAAGTTCATTAAATTACCATTGCATACTCATTAAGCCACTATTGTAGGTTCATTAAGTCATCAAAGGCCAGTTATATTATTACTACGTTCATCACACATTTATTGGAACAATATATTGAAAAAATATATCAATATGAGTGAGTTTAAAATATCTCTATGAGATATTTTTAATGATATAACTTTTGTAGATTGATTTTATTTATATAAAAATAAATAGAGAAAAATGTATTTAAACGATGTTCGATTTATTGGTGTCATTTTGATGACTTGGAGTATTATTATAATAAACTTAAATTCATTTTTAATTGATCTAATTTATTTTTAATAAATTTAAATTATTTAAATAAACTTGATTCAATGATCTAACATAGATCCTGGTCCATAATCCAATATTAACCTTGGGCTATAATATAATTTGCCTAACACTACACGAAGCATCTTATGTACATGATTCAATGACTGATTCAGTCATCTTTTTTTATTTTTTATTTTATAGGTAAATGTAAATTATATAAATATCCGAAAGAATATACAAATACATACACATGGTATACCCAAGTCCAAAAAGCAAAGTATGAACAACAAAGCAAAGGAAGAAAAACTATAAATATTACAAAAGCAAAACCAATGAGAAAATAAAGAAAGCCAGTAAAAACTCAACTGGAGAAAGATCCAAAAGCTGATCATGAGGATTATGGCCATTTCCACCATTTACATTCAAAATGGCAGTTTATTCCAATGAGATCTTCTCAAAGAAATTAAAGCAAGGAATCACACCATCATTGATTACAAAAAATTTGGGAACATGACATCCAGGCAACAAGAATAGAAGAAGCAAACTCGAAACGGTTAAACAAATACACGGGGCATATTCCGAGGAGGGAGAACAAAAGCGAACTAAAAGGACAAGATCGAGAAGTCAAGCAATGAAACCAAACAAAAAGCAAAGATAAAAAACCACCCAACTCAACAAAAAGATCAAGAGGAAACAACAAGCAAGAACTGAAGCACTATAAAGGAACAAACTAATTTTTTTTAATTTGATTTTTTTTTATTTTTGTTTATTTTTT